AGATAGGTCCATAGTTACTATTGAACTTGAATAGGAAGTAATACAGTAGCAATCTGTGACCTTGAAATTGACCTTTGACCTACTTTTTATGATGAACTGCTTTTTGCATGTTTTCTGGCCTTTAAATCTGCAAAATTGGCAAAGAAATGCCCATGGTTGCTATTGAACTTGAATAGAAATTCATATACTATGATATTGAAATTGACCTTTGACCTACTTTTTCACCATGAACTGAGCTTTGCATATTATCTTGCCTCTCATATCTTTAAAACTAGCAGATATGTGCCCATTGTTTCTCCTAGGTTTTCTCTTTTGTCAGCATATATGCACCATTGACAACACATTTCAAGGAAACCAATAGGCCTTTTGTCTAGAGAATACAGTAGTGATCAAGGGTAGGAAAATGCAAGTCAATTCGAAAATCTGCTTGATTGTACCATTTTTAGTTATATTTTTTTGCATATTTTGTGAACTCTTGTTGATTGCATCTTATAGAGCTTCTCAAACACAAGACTGGTGATGGTGTCCCTTTTAGGAGGGGGGGGTCCATACGAATGCGCTTACTCCAGCTGGTGGTACAATATCTGGAGGCGGTATCGCCTCTCTGATCCTCTAGTTCTCACTGCTGCTTATATTATTTAGGTTTCAGTCCCTACCCTGGTATGTCAGCCAGGCAGGTGATGGAAGCTATAACTGAGGGATACCGGATGCCACAACCACCACATTGTTCACAGGATATGTCAGTATACAATGTTAATTTTGGAATTATATCTATATATATATATATATTTAGAAATTGCTTGGCAAGTATAGATAAACTGAACCATGTGAAATAATGTCTGACTTAATGACTTAAGTCCCGGTGTGTTACTTCTTACGTCAGGTACACCATCATGCTGTCCTGCTGGGAAGAGGTCCCAAGTTCAAGGTCAACATTCAAAGACATTGTTACTTCCTTGGATATCCTCCTGGCCTCGGACAGCGATGTTCTTACTCTGGGAAAGTTTGAGGAGAAACTGTACGAGGACATTGACAACAACAAAATGGAAGAAAAATGTTGAAGAATATTTCAAATACATGTGGTCTCACCTGGTCATCAGTATTTGCAGCTTTGCCCAATATTTGATTATGTATCATGAGATAGGCAGAGTGAATATATATACTCATATTTAAAGCATATTAAATATCAAGTTTCATGTTTATTCAATCTCACAAGTTGAATATTTTCAACATAAAGATACAAATAGAACAGTCAACAGAGAGCTACTATATACAGAATTACTTATTCAACTCAGCATACATATTATAGTACAACATTTGATACAGAGGTGTGTGTACTAATACAACATTCAATATAGTTGTGTAACATTCGTCATAGAGGTACATGTACTACAATATTTAACATAGGGATACTAATTCAAAATTCTACAAGAGTAATACTTTACAGTTCGAAGAATCTCTTATTGATAAATGAAATGTCATTTATTTTGGAGAGAGTAATTATATTTTCATATTTCCTGGTATGGAGGTAAACTATATATACAGCTTTTTATTTATGAACTGCACAGGACTTTTTTCCGTAGATTGCCTCCATCGTTCCAGTGATGAATTGCATGTACCAGTATTGTCACACGTGCCATAACTTGAGTTCTCTTCCTGCTTCTCATTAATATTTAATATTTTTGAAACTTTTTACTATTTGACAAATAAAATTATAATATTTAATAAGAAAGAATTGTGCTTTGATAGTTTTTTTTCTTTTATTTACGTTCTTCGAATGCCCTTTTTATTGAGAACACATACTTGTACAGTATATATGATTCAAAATTGTTTTTTTCATCATGGTATACATGTCATGACACACACGCACACACACACTTAGTCTAGTGTAAACTGGAACTCGATTCTTTAATTTTTGGAAAATCTTCCTGGTATGGAGGTGGACTATATATATGCAGCTTTTTATTTATTAACTGAGATTATTGTATATTAACTAAATTGTGCCAGTGATGTTTTGTGTGATGTACTGTAGACTAGTGAGAACCATATAAATTATTTTCCAGTCTTGAGGCTTGTTACAATGTTGATTGACAACTAAATTTGACATGCAAATAGCTAGGCCAGTTAAATCACTAAATGAGCAATTTTTACCCATTGAAATAGGAAAATACATTAACAAAGGTGATAAGACAACTTGAATAGTTCCACATATTGTACCTGGTGCCAAAATCCAAAATGATTACCAGTGCATAGGGAGATGATTTAAATTTAAATAATACATCAATTTTGTTGTATTTGATCAAAATCAACACTTTATGCACAATGCCGACCCACAACAAAGCATGTTGACACTATCACTGTTGACACTATTTTCTCAACTAGCACTTGTATATTCGTACAACAGTATTATAACAATACATTTAGACAAACATCAAAATCAGCACCAAATTTTAATTTTGCACAACAGGTAACTTGAACTGTAAAAATTTGTACCATATATGGCTTCAGGTCAATGAGAGTTTGAATTCACACACTGAAAATGCCAGAATAAGAAAGATGAAAATTTCACAAACTGCATATAAATGTAAGAAAAACAATCAAGCTGGTTTTCCAATGTGATCTGTATGTCAATCCTAAGAATCATTCTTGTAAGTAAGAAAGTAATAAGTAATTTGAAAAGTTTTCCTTTCAAAGTATTTGTGCGTGTAATTTATAAAATCACCTGAACTCATCCACGCTGGGTGGTTTTCTAAGCTACTAGTAGTCTACTACTCCGTGGAGCAGGAGTTGGTCGGTCAACAACGATATCCTCTGGCATTTGACCATCACTAGCTTCACTACTCGCTGAAGATTCTTCTCTCACATCATTTGCTTCATTACCTTCTCCCTCCTTGAGGAGTAAAGGTTGATTGAGAGGAAAAACTGTATCTTCATCACTTGTACCGTCTGTATGAGAATTTAGTGAACAGTCTGCTTCTACCATTTTATTTGTGTCTCTCTTGGAAGTTCTTTTTCTGGGAATTATTTTGCATTATTGTACCACCAGCGTTAGCGCTGGCGGTACACATGGTTTCGGTCCCGTCCGGATCGTTCCGCCGGCTCCGCCGGCTCCGTTGGCTCCGCCGGATGGCTACCGTTACCGCTTCTCCTCCTAGACGGTAAGGGCCCCCGTACCCATCTCATGGATTTAGGTCACCTATAATCTCAACTCGTTCCACGTAAAATTTGGGCTTTGTCGGTATTGGGGTCTGGGTGTGGCACTCATTGCAATGCACCCTTGTCTAAAAATGGCAAAATTAAATGCTAATTATCTACCCTACGGAAGGAGTTATGGGAAAAATTTCTATAGACGGCTTTCCAAAAGTCATATGTGTAGATTTCAAATATACCCTTGGATTTGACCTTTGACCT